ACCTATATATTTCACTGGGGACAGTTTAATCCTAATGGGACAAATTTCTTTGATAATTGAGCTGGATGAAGAGCCAATTGTATTTCTGTGGAAGATGCTATGGAGCTAATGAAGGCAACAATTCCGGAGAAAGTCCAGGAAAAGATTCCTAAGGGAGATGCTATGGAGTTGATGAAGACAACAATTCCGAAACAATTTAAGGAAAATATTCCCAAGGTAGAAGCTATGGCATTGATGAAGGTAATAAATTAGGGGGAACAAATTCCATAGAATATTATGATTATTGCAAATCACACGGAAGAGAATATAACTGATAATGTCACTGGTGATACTCTGGCTAAGGGTACTGATGTCTTTCAACAAACAGATCATGCTTCACCCAATTTCGACGTGAATCAAACAAAAAAGAAGGGAGCAAACATCACAAGAAGGTGGAAAAGAATCAACAAGACTCAGACTCCAAATTCTATTATTTTTGCTCCACTAGATAGTCTGAAACGGCCCCTAGATATCTCCACTGCAAATGGTGAAGCTGTCCGAAATTCCAAACGATTGAAAGATAAAGATAAACCCAGGAAATGAGTTAAGATTCCAATTCTCAAAAAGAGGTTCTCCTTAAATCAGTAGCCTTAGCAATTCCCTGGAGTGGCAGATGTGAGTAGGGAGCTAGGGATAAATTTACAGCAAAATTATAACCAGCAGCTTGATTGTCTTGTGTTGTCACTGATTGATCCTTACTCAAAGTGGTAGATTTTGGCCAAACATAGAAATCTATTCAATCCAAAAATTGTTGAGGCTATCTTGAAATTATATCCTAGCCACTCGGGAGAAGAGTATGTCTGGTGGTGGGAACATGAACAAACTGGAGTCTATTCAGTTAGCAGTGCATATGGCTTCTTCAAAACTTATCTTACTCCTGATCGTGGCAACTCATCAAATGGGCCTGAAAAAAAAAAAGACATTCTGGGATACTTTATGGCGACTTAAAATCCCTCAAAAAGTAAAGATTTTTGCTTGGAGGCCTTGTTGTGAGATTTTGCCTTCAAAACATAATCTGATCAGAAGGAAAATTAATATCGACCCTCAATGTTGTTTTTGTGATCACCAAAGGGAAGACTTATGTCATGTTTTGCTCCACTACCCTCTACTAATCGATTCCTAATTAGCCATTTCCCAATGTTACAGAATAAGACCTACCATGGAGGATTCATACAAACAACTATTGATATTATGGCTAAAGGCTCAAAAGATGCTCTCTCGGAATTTCTGCTTATTACCTGGAGTTTTTGGTTCCGACGAAATAGGATAATTCATGATCAGATTAATCTTCCACCAACACAGGTAATTGCTACTGCTCTAGCCAAAAAATCTGCTACTGAAATGGGCCATCCTCTCAACTATCTTCCTAGTGCACTTCCCAGCAGATATAGATGGTCTACACCATCTAATGATGCGCTCAAACTCAATGTAGATGGTGCCTTGTTCTTCGATCTAAATAAGGCTGGACTTGAAATTATTTTACCAGATCATGAGGGATGAATAGTTTTAGTAGCAAGTGGACCTGAAAACTCAATCTTGGAACCTGAACATATTGAAGCGGCTGCACTCCTACGAGGCTTATAGCTATGTCTTAACCTTGGCATACCAAATTTGTTGGTGGAAAGTGACTGCCTGTTCTCGTCAATGAAGTGAACACATTAGGATCAACATCTGCACCAATCCGATATATGGCTACTAAAATCAGGGATTTAATACAGAGATTCCCTCAATATAGACTCCAACACTGCAATAGGTTGAGCAATCAAGCAGCTCATTTTCTGGCGTGACATGCATGGAGTCTTGAAGATATGATACTTTGGTGGCACAATGTTCATTTTTTCATTGAAAATGTAATTTTCATTGATAGACACTATTGTACCATTTCTTAAGGCTTTTTGCATTTATGAATGAAATATTTTTTTTTCCATTAAAAAAAAAAAACAACATATACATGCACATTAGTGCATCAAATAACAAAATGTCATGTGTATTTCGCATAGACGACTAACGATAGTTTTCACTGTGAATAACATTATTCTTATTTTTAAGGATTGAAAGAAATCTAATTAATCAATTGTGGATTTATTATTGATTTTTATTTATTTAAGTTAATATGTGGATCCCTAATTAGATTTGTTTTATTATAATTCAAAAGCCAACTAAGCACGATGTTTAGTATAACAATGCACGCAGACAAAAACAAGTATCAAACTAATCGTATATGTTAGAAATTTTATATGTTGGTAAAATATAGTTTTAGCATATATGAGGAAAACACTTGTAAATAAATTCAAATCGACCTAAATAATCTACCGTAATAATGATAATCTTAACATAATATGCTAACATTACAGGTCAGTTGATTTAAAATGTCTTAAAGATAGACGTAGAAACAAATTGAATGAATAAATATTTATATATTTGACTCAATTCATTTAAAAAAAAAGGTTTAACTTGCTATTATCATTGAATTTTGCTTAGTAATGGAGGCTGAACTTGATCTAGTGGAAAACGATGGAAAATTTTCAAAGATAATGTACAAGGTTTGGTAGTGAAACCATTGTCACAAACACGTTGGGAAAATCATGTTGACAGTGTGAAGCCTGTAATGGAGTAAATTGCACAAATAAGAGATGCGTTACTTGATTTAGCAGAAAGTAGTGAAGAGGCTAAAATAAGGAGTGAATCATAGTCGTTAGCAACGAATGACCTGTCTAGTTTTGAGTTTTTACTTGCATTGATTATTTGGTATAGATTGTTGTGTGCAGTCAATATTGTGAGTAAATTTTTTCAAACTGAAAATATGGATATTGATCATGCTATCAACCTCTTGCAAGGGCTTGTTTCATTTTTTGAAGAATATAGAGAAACTGGATTTGCTATTGCCATGGATGAAGCGACAAAGAAGGCAAACGAAATGGGAATTAAAACTGTATTTCGAGAAAAACGTATAATTCCAAGAAAAAAAAACATTTTGCCCCTGTTTGTCATCCATTATTTCAAAACATTGTTTGCTACAGTAAGATTCTCCACCACACATTTATCCAATAAAATATTCTACACATAAACCAATAAAGTAACTTTAAATTTCAACCACACATTCTCCAAAAAATACTATTCATTACACCATTTTAACAACAAAAATGGATGACAAACAGGCTCTTTGATGAAAGTGGAAGTAATGAAATAAAACAATCGGCCGAAGAATATTTTAGAGTTGAATTCTTTGTTTTTGTAATAGATCAAGCTCTATCTTCTATGAGCACTCGTTTTGAACAATTCAAACAATATGACGACACTTTTGAGTTTTTGTTCAATTTGAAGAGGTTAAGGGATGAAACTCATTCAACTTTGCTGAAATCTTGTATGAATCTTGAGAAACAATTAGAACATAATGAGCTTTCGGACATTAGTGGAGATGATTTATTTTCGGAAATATTAGTCTTGCGGTGTTATATACCAAATGCAGCAACGAAAGCAATTGAAGTGCTACGATATTTGAAGACATTGGGTGCTTGTTTCCCAAATGCTTATATTGCTTATAAAATCTTGTTAACCATACCGGTTACAGTTGCATTTGCAGAAAGAAGTTTCTCTAAATTAAAGTTGATCAAGACTTACCTCCGATCATGGATTGGCTATGCTATCAATAGAGAAAGATATGGTTGAACAATTAAATTATTCAGATTTGATTAATGTTTTTGTCTCTAAAATAGCAAGACGAATAGTATTTAACTGATTGTTTGAACTTTTGTCGGTTTTGTTATTTTATAATATATATAAATCATTTGTTCTTTTTATTTGTTTGTTGTTCTACTCTTCAGTATTAAGTTAGCAATACATTACTTAATGCACGGTTGGATTTTGCATTTACGTTGATCTCCGGGGGCCCAATTCTCGGAGTTCGCCTCGGGCCCCGAAGATCACAGGACCGGCGCTGATGGCCACCATGCTCGATTCACTCCACTAGAAAAAGTCGACCTCAATCTATTGGTCAACAGGGCAAGCTTGTATCGACTCTTGACTAAGGGGATTGGTTCCAATGAAATGTCAAATCAATCTAGTTTATGAAATTCATGAGCCGACAATCTCGGCCTCATCCTAGGCTTGAGCTCGATTTAGTGCAAGCTAAAGTTGTCTATGGTTGGCTCTCTTGAGTTGACCCAACACGCAAAATCGAACGACCTGACACAATCCCAACCCTACTAATCTATATTTGAAATTCTCATCCATTGTCTGTGGGCGTAATTTATTATATTAGATAAAAGATTAACAAGGCATAGTATCCAAAAAAAAGTTGCTAAATTAATTGGTAGACAGGGAAACACATGGCATGACTTGCCGCCACTTTACTTTCTTTATGTTTTTAATTTTGCTCGGATCCCCATCAATTTTTCATATTTATAAATTTTGCCTCAGTTTTAACTCGAGTCTTTCATATTGGTCCTGGTTTACGAAAGTTAAAAAGCATCAAAAGATGGAGTTATTAAGGTTTAAAACATGATAAGTGTCTTTTGCACTTTTATTTAGACTCTTGAAATTGTTTAATATTAGATTATTTCAGTGTATTTCTACATAATTTAGTGTATATATTTTTTTCCTAAGTTAAATCCCAACTTGGAGTTGAATTAAACAAAAATGATGATTTTTGTACGTTATAAGGACCAAATTTAATATTCGAGTACTAAGACTTGGACATGAGTAAATTTAGATAAATTGAGTTGATTTAAAGTAATATTGAAGATTTGAAGTGAGTGGCCGAACATCACAAGGTCAAAGAAGCAAAATGTGGTATCTACATGCTGAGTATGTGAAATAATTAGAAAATAAAGTTCATCACAAAGATTTCCGCATGAAAAATGAAACACCATCGAAAATATAATTGAGTTTGATGTTCAATTCAAACATCGAATCATGAATTCGAAATTTTAGATAAAAAATTATACGAGTTTGAAGTCAGAATGTCAGACCATATTGGGCTTGGCACTAGTGGGAGACCTTTGAGCAAATTTTACAGTAGCCTTAGTATCTCTGGATTGGCTTTCGTGCCCGAGACATACTTTCCTTATTTGATTTGGAAACATATTTTCTACAAAAATGCTACAAGTACATGAGAGTTTCAATGTTTTTTTTGTTAGATGTCAAGTTTCAACACTGCATTGGTCTATTTTAATTTTCATTATCCAATCCAAGAATGCTACCTCACATGGTATTAGGGACACCTCATGTCATTTCATACGTCAAAACACTGTATATTAGAGCTCCAATAACAACACAATTCCATTGTTTTGGGAAAATTTAAGGGAATATTCAAGAAACTATCGAAGATCGAGACTTGATTATTTTTCGAATTTCTTGGCGTTGAAGATAAAGATTGAAGAGATTCATCACATCTTCTTATTTTTAGAAATAAATGGGTGATGACTATGTCAAAACTATTCTTTTTTGTTTTTTTTTTTTTGTTTATCATGTTTCTTGGCTATATTATTTGTTAGGACAAAACATGTAGTTAATTAACTTCTACTCTTGTTTAAGTTTTACTTTATATAACTTGCATCAGAATAGCATAATCAAATTATTTTCATATCACATGAATGTTAAGTTGAGAGATTACATGTTAGAACATTCAATGTTTTTCATAATTTTATTGTTAAATTAAGAAATTTCTACTCATTCATTTTATTGGTTTATGTTCTTATGCATTACTTTTATCAAACTACTATTCATGAAATGAATATTAATATTTTATATTGGAGTTAATGACCAACAACACAATAATTGAAGCAAAATATAAATGGAATATTTGTAGAGTTAATTAGTGAAATCGGGATTTCTAACTATTTTTTAATTAATTTCTACTTAAATACTTACTTTCTCCATCATATTAATTTTCATAGTTTAGTTGTTAATTAGGAAAATGAAAATCAAAACTATAGCTGAATTTTGTATGTTTTTGGATTTTGTTGATCCTTCTCAGTAGTTCAGCAGAGATTTATTATAATTACAATATATATAAATACACTTTTTTTCCTCTCTTCATTTTTTTTTTTTATGCTAAGGAATATCCCTCAATAATTATCAAGGAAAGGATTGGATTGATGCAAAAATTACTTTTTTGGTAGATTCATATCTCAATTAGTAGGTCATGGATAGTGTTTACTTTATCTTTTCCATAGATGATATGAATTATTCTATTTCAAATCACGCAACAACCATTACTAATA